TGGGGCGCGACATCTTCGATTTGGGGGCCCACCAGGTACTGGGTCCTTAGGAGGCAGAGGCGGGGGCCACAAGTGGATAAGTCCTGGCCGCGTTCTGGAGGTGGGCCCGCGCTCGTCCCCATTTTCCAGCAAAGGAATCCCAGACTCAGAGCTCCCGGGGCTCCCCTATCCCCATGCTGTGTCCGCGACAAGGGGTGCAGTGGGCACCAGCAGGCAGTGCCTTCGACTGGGGACTCCCTCTTCCCCGGCCTTCCAGCCTGCCCCATCCCATCCTTGGACCTGAGGCTTGGCACACACTTGGTGCGTCCAGCGGCTTCCCTACATTCAGTAGGTTTAGTGTAAGTGAAGGCCTCTGTTCTCATCCTCAAAAGGACACTTCCCACTCAAGAATGTAGAAGAAACACCTGGTGGATAGATACTCTGCCCTACATCCTAGGGTTCCTGGACGGGGGACCTGAATGCGAACACTTCCCAGGCTTGTTGCTCTGCACCTGCCAGGCTGCAGGGGTTCCATGTGTGAGGTGGGAGTACAGGCATCAGGGAGCTCCCTGGGGAACTGGCCAGGGGGCTTGAGAGGCTGAAGGCCTGGGACCTGAGAGCCACCTTCTGCTCTGTAACCCTGAGGACCTGGCAGGCTTCCCCTGCAGCAGATTAACACAGGCATTTGGGGAAGTCAAGGGAAGTCCCCTCACTTGAGGGGACTCAGAGGGTGGATCAAGACCAGGCTTCACTGGGACCACCGTAAGTGATCTTTCACCATCCACTAACCAAGCCTGTGTCTGAAGCACCCATTGGCCATCACTTAGGGCACCGATCACCTGTTGGGGACATCACCTCGCCTGGCACTGGTAATTTCCATCTTAGTCCCCAGGACTACCGCTCATTTGTGCCCTCCTTGTCCCACCCAAGGATGTTATTTCCTAGCTTTTGAGGTAGAGTACAGGCATCAGTGTGGGTCCTGCAGGAGCTGGGCTGGGTCCCATGCAGCCACTAGCCTGACCTGACCTTCAGGTGCGCAGCTAAAACAGGCAGGACAAGGGGCCCTCATCACCTCACCTCCCCCTCACACCCGTCTAGTCCTGCAGCACACCAGAAGCCCCACCTTCAAATGTTCTCGAATCCAGCCACTTTGCACTTGCACAGCCTTATGTGGCCCTGGCATCCTGGCTTCCTCCGTACTCTGCAAAAGCCAGAGGAAACCTCCTCTGCTCACTGCCCTCATGGTTTCCATCACTGAGTAAAAGCCCAACTTCTGTGACTCACCACCTGCCCTCTTGCGCTCCTCTCCACCTGGCTCCCTCTGTTCTAGCCCCACTGGCCTCCTCACTGTTGCTCCAACACCCCAGGCACAGTTCTGAATCAGGGCCTTTGCACTGGCTCTTCCCTCTGCCTAGAATGTTGTTTGCCCAGGTGCTGGAAGGGCTCTCACCTCAGGCTTTACCTACAAATGACACTTGCTCAGCGTACCTCCCTGACCCCTCTCCAGCCCCTGTAAGTCTTCTCCTTGGCACTCTTTACCATCTCTTGCTGTACCTTCTACTATTTTGAATATGTATGTGGGCAAGGGTTTGCCCATCCCATTGGATGCTTAACGCTGTGGCCAACCTGAAAGGCAGAGAGGGTCTCGGGCTGGCTGCACATACTCCCATAGGTCCAGCTGGGCCTGTGGGGCAGCCCTGGACCTTCCCAACTACCCATCTCAGTCCTTCCACAAAGCACTATCTGGTGTCCATGGTGGCCATCAGTAATGGGAGAGGGCTCCTGCCCACCAGCCCAGCCTTGAGTTACATTCTGGCAGGGCCCAGACAGGAGGCTGCCAATGGGCAGGTACAAGGTAGGAATGGAAAATAGCTTCTGGTGCTGGTGGCTGGGGGCCAGGCACCATGCGCCTGGTGAGGGGCTGCTGAGGTCCCAGGGCTGGTGCCCCTTCCCTGCTTCACCTGATAGGACAGGCCTCCTTTCTGCTGGGGGTGCTCAGCCCCCTCGATGCCCCTGCCTGGGGAGGCCTTCTCTGCACCCCTCTCTGCTGCTGAACTCCCTGCTGGCTCTGCTGATGCAGGTCCCTTGCTCTGGCAACCAAGGACTGGGTTTGGGCAGCCACCTCTGAGAAAGATGAGGCCAGGCACTGGGAACCCCAATGTCTTATCTCCTCCCTGGAAAGGACACAAACACTGGTCCAGGGACAAAAGGCAAGAAGCCTTGTCCAGATCATCAAGCCCTTTGCACAAATTGTTCCTGAGGTGCCCAAGACGCCCATCTGCCAAGAACCTGGCCTGGCAGCAACTTCTTGTTTGGGTGAATATAACCTGATGGTGACATCATCCCAGAGGCCCTGACCACCCTAACCCGCCCACTCACCTCCGTCTTTGTTGTCCTGCTTCTTCTAATCACAGGACACTCACTGTGTTTCTTTTTCCAGGCAGGGAGCTTGGTGCTTTGGCCTCCACGGTGCTCCAGCACCCATGGCCCCAACCACAGTCTCAGACCTAGCCGATGACTCACTGCATGGAAGCAGCAAGGAGCAGAGGCCTAAGGGGGGATGTTTACTCCCAGGAGGATCTGGCATGCCCATTCCTTGGTTGGTCGAGTGGTGGCCTGAGAGTTTCTGGCCCCCTCACCACCTATAAACCATGCGGGGGTCCTGGGTTTGAATCCTAGTGCCCCTTGTGATGCCTGTGACCTCTCTGTGCTTCAGTTTTCCTGGATGCCAACTGAGCTTGGGAGACAGGGCTGTGCCACCTGCAGCCCAGCAGACAGGGCAGCTGTTTGAGGGGCAAAGGAATCTGTACTGCTGCTGCTCACACCCTGCTCTCCAGGGCCCTGAACTCAGGCCCCTCCTGTCTCAACTTGGGTTCCCATACACCATCCTCAAAGTGGCTAGAACAAACATGGATCAGAGGGGAATGCCCAGAGTGGAGACATTTATTGAAAGAAGGGGACTGGGCTTCCAGCCTCTGCCTCTGGCCAGAGCGAGGGAGAGAGGATGAGGGCCGGTGCCCGGTGGGGACGGCAGCATGGCTGGGCCACACCTTCGCACCATGGAAACTGCATCTGGGGCCGGCCTCAGGCACTCGGGGCATACTGCAGCACCAGCCGGTCAAAATCGTTTTCCTTCAGCAGGCCCTTCAGCTGACAGATAGCGGTTTGTCACCTGTGGGGGAGATGAGACTGGGTTAGCTGAACATGAGGACCCCGTGGCTCTGACCAGCAGGGGTAGGGTGAAACAAGGGCTGCCAAGGGACTCCCTGGTAGAAGCTCTGGGGGGGTGGGGCTCACCTTGGCCTGGTACTCTTTGATGAAGGGGTGGGACCTGTGAGCATCCTTCAGCTGGGACAGATAGCGGTTTGTCACCTGTGGGGGAGATGAGACTGGGTTAGCTGAACATGGGGACCCCGTGTGTCTGACCAGCAGGGGTAGGGTGAAACAAGGGCTGCCAAGGGACTCCCTGGTAGAAGCTCTGGGCTCCACGCAAACCTTCCATCACCCCACCCCGGAACAGTGCCTGGAAGAGCTTGGCACATGAATGGGGGATGCACCGAGGTTCACGGGAGCAAGCACAGCAGTGACTGAGCCCTGG